GTGCATTACAGCATTGTTCAGAGATCATGGGAACTTCATAAAGATATCAGACATACTCCTCCACTGCAATGAGCTACATGTAAATAATTAATTTCTTGGATATACTCAGACAGATATCCTAATTACACAGGATTTGCTACTGGACACACATCTTTGAAAATAATTTCAATGCAATTATAAAGGTATTTTGTGTGGACAACATCATGAAAAAATATTAAATGTGCTATTTATTCATTCAGGGATAATATACTATTTTTTCCTGCATATTTGAAGTTACTTGGCTAATTAATTAGATAATACATGCTAGAGTTAAGTTTTCATTTTTCATTGCAACACATTGCATAAATGACAATGTTATAAACTTGTACCTCTGCATTAGGTAAGTGCATTTTGGTCAGCTGATTGAGTCAGATTTTTATTTTTGTAATTCTTTCCAGTTGATTGTTTTTGTACTGTAAATTTAAATTAGCTCAGTGACTTTACCTATAATTTGGGCCTTCCAAACAGACCAAATTGTGCTTTCCCACCCTTCCATATGTTACTAGGGAAGAGAGGCAATATATTAATGCCAGTCCTATAAAAATATCTGTAAGGAAACACTTTTTTACCCCAAAGGGTAAGTTCTGTATGAGTTTATATTAGGTATTTGTCAAAGGACTTTTTTCCCTGTTAAAGATGGAGACATATGAATCATAAAAATATTCATATTTGAGACAAAATATCACTACAGATATGTTACCACAAAAATCAATTGTCAGTATATGTTTAAGAGTAGCAAATTGGTGTTAACTGATTTGCTATAAAAATTCCTAAAGACTGTGGAATGTAAAGCCCTCTTTCAAAATTCACATAGTATTTCAATTTTATTTTTAATGTAGTGAGTGAACTTGTTATTACATACACATATTCTAGAGGCCTTTCAAGAGTTTTAATTTTAAACAAAAATCATGTGTAATGTCAAAGTCTGATATCTTGCCTGTAGTCACAGGACCCACTTGCAGAACTTGCTGCTGCTGCTGGCTTGTGGCAATGTGTCAATTTCTCCTGCCAGAAATGTGCACAGGACAAGTTGGTGAAGTAATTTCAGCCACATGACGTCATTACAAACACAGCCTTAGCTCTTCCAAAAGTGGACTTTATTGTTAATATAAATATATATCTGTAATTACTGACATTTATATTATTTGGCTCCTGTCCTAAGTTATAGATACAGTGATGATAAAAGGTCTTGCAAGCCCTTACCTAAGCAAACTGTGCTTACTAATTACCTCCCATGGTTCTGGGTTCCTGTAAATAAAGTTACTCATATATTTATAAGCAAGTCAAAATCTATACAAATATTTCTAAACGTAACTTATCTTACTCTTTTGGGCAAACAGAACTGTCTACTGCTTCGAAAAGAATGCTAAGAGTGAAGGCATCCAGGATTCTTCCCAGCTTCTGCCAGGATGTGACTCTGCCATATCACTGGATATCCGACTGAAATACTTTATCCAGTCACATTTTTAAATTGATTGAGGCCTGAACCAGAAGATCCTATGTGAGTAAAAGGATGCATTACTTTTAAGTAAGGAATGGCTGTTGATTTTTCATCACTGTTCCTGGACAGACTGGGGTCAGAGGGTTTGTTTTAGAAGTTTGTTTGTTCAAAAGGTGTAGCTTGCAAGACACGTGGATCAGGAAAGTGCCACATGGAAGATGTCAAAGCAGCAGCCTCAACATTTCTCCCTAATGTGAAAAGGAAAAGGAAGTCCCTGAGGTATGCACTATTCAGGGGAGAACCCAGAGCTCCCATAGGGATGCAGTATTTAGGGAGAGAACCAAGAGTCTTCCCCTGAATGGAGAGACAAGTGATGAATTCTGGACTGCCTGGTATCTTAGGGGCACATCTCGCTTTAAGAATTATTTGGATCCCAGGCTGTAACATTTTCCAGACATTCAGATTGCAACTACTAAGCCAGCAATTTTATGCTTTCCCTTCCCTGACTCCAAGAGCACCGCAATATAAGCAGCCAGATTTTCTTCTGCATTGTGTTTTTTATCCATTCAGCCAAAATTAACAGTCTTCTAGGATAACGTATGCCAAGTGAATTTAAATCTTGTGGACTCAAATCGACCTAAAGTTGATGGATACATTCATGCCTACTGCTGAAATCTACCAATTACACAGAACTATGTTAACTTACCATAGAAACATCTCATCTAATAGCACAGATGATGTTGAACTAACTAATTACATTATGGCACATAGACAATGAAAAACATAACGAAGATGACAGCACAGCAACAGCAGATGCTGCACAAAAGAAAAATTAGAAAAATATTGCTCTGCAAAATGCTCTCAGTTAAGGTTTCCTCTGTTAAAATTAATCACAAAAATTAGTGATGATCAGATTTCAGAAAAAGATATGAACATTGTAATGCAATTTGGAAAACATCATTAAGCCATTTAAAACTGTTCCTTGAGAAGGTAATTCCTGTTTTTTGTATCACCCTCATTTTTAAGACTAGTAAACATTTTAGTGCCTATGGCAGAGTTTCTTGGTAGAATATCTTTTCCAATAAGGAGAGGTCCTAATGGCTCTCCCAGAGTCTGAATTTGGTAGCTTCCAGCCATTACAGGCTTAGATAATTAGACAATGTAGATTTTATTTGAGCTTGGCATTTGCTCTGTTCTTGTGCTCTTAACTGTCAGAGAGCTAAAATATCAGTGATTGTTGATTATCTGTAGCATGCCTTGTTGCTTTATATATTTTAAATTGTACCAGATCCTACATAACAAATCTAAAACTGCTGAGTATGTTTAAATGTAATATGTACATGGAGATTACATCCAGATGATATATTTCTAGACCTATGCTAAAAAAAACTAACCACAACACCGGTCCTCTCCCCTTTCCCTGTGGAAGCTTTCCATGAATTCCCAAGTCTGAATGAATCCCAAGTCTGCTTTAAGCAGACTCTGAACATATCCCAGTCTATGGAGGAACATAGAAATATAATTTTCTCCCGTGTTTAAATCATACCTATGGTGCCATTCAAATGTCGATATTTTATTTTCTACATATTCAGAAGCAAAATGTATCTTCGCCATCCTACGCTTTCCCATTTACATTTCTCCCAGGTAGACAATTTTCCTTTCAATTCTAAATGATCGCTGGGCACACGGCTCCGTGCCCAGCCCAGGCCGGGGCTGCAGGGCTGCGGCAGACCCACAGGTGGCGATGTGGATAAAGCACACCTGGGCTGCGACTGCGGGGCCGGGCTCAGCGCCAGGCTGTCCCCGGGCGGGCAGCATTCCTGCGCCGGGGCGCTCACTCCTTAGGAAGCGCTCCCGGGAGAGTTCCGTGTACCTGTGCGGGCACCGCGTCTGCGTGAGCCGCCGGCAGGGGCAGGTTTAAAACATTTTGTTGTTTCGGATACCGGGGGGCGCGCGGAGCTCGTAGCTCGGTCACGCTGCCGCCACCACGTACTTGACAGGGCAGCGAACGCGCCCGCGGGCGGCGGGGCCGCCCTGCCCTGCCCTGCCCGCGGCTCACGTCGAGCGGGGCCCGAGCGCTGCTGCCGTCCGGCGGGCGCTGCATTGGCTGCGCTTACGTCAGCGCTCTGGAATCGAGAAACTCCTGCTCCCAAGTTTTTCTGTCCTTTAGCAGATCCCGGCAGTGCCGCTGAGGGGGCTCCGCCGCGAGCGCGGGGTGACAGGGGCCGTGTGTCCCCTGTGCCGGGCACCGCCGGGCGCGGAGCTGCGCCGCGGACAGCACCGCATCCAGGAGCACTTTGTTATTCCGGGGGTGGGTGTGTTCCAGCGATTCGCGGCTGTGCTTATCCTGTGTGCTGCACTTAGGCCTCGCAGGCGTGCAGTTAATACGTAGGGGGTTTTTCATAGTTTTAAGCGTTCCCACTGAACATTACTTCTTCCGATTTGCCGTCATCCCCGGGCTTCTCTCTCAGAAATGCAGCTGCCTGCTCTGCTGAGGAGCGGTGCCGCCAACTGCGGCTGCTTAACCCACCGAAACCTCCACTGGGGCGGCCACCGCGGGCCGTGCCCGCCTGAGTCCCGCAGCGCAGCTCCCGCGGGGAACGTGTGGCAGCGGCGGCTGGACACGGCCCCTGAGCTCGCAGGGCGAGCCGGGCACGGCCCGCCGCCGCCTCTCCCCGCCCCAGCGCGGGATCCCAGGACGGGGTGCGGGCACCGGGGCCGGACGCGGCAGCGGGGGGCGCCACGAAGGCGGCAAGTAGCGGCTGCTGCGGCCGCGCCTCCCCTCGGCGCCTCCCCCAGCACGGCAGGGCCGCGGTGGCGGGGGAAGCGCCCAGCGGCCGGGAGGGCTCCGACGGACATCGCTCCCCGGGCGGAGCGGGCCTGCCCTCGGGGACAGCGGGATGACCCCTCGCCGCCAAGTTTCTCAACTGGTGGCCGGGAGCTGGCGGGCGGGGCCAGGCGGGACGGACGGTGCCCTCACGGCCGCGCGCCTCCCCTCAGCGCCCGGGCGGCCGGCGCTGCCCACCTGACTCCCTCCTTCCTCTCCATTCCCCTCCTCCTCCTCCTCGCCCCCTCCCTTCCTCCCTCTTTTTTTTTTTTTTTTTTTTTTTTTTTTCCTCCCCTCTCACTCATTCCTTTGTCTTCTCGGGGATTGGCAGGTTTTATTATTCCGCCTGAACAAGCCGGGGGCGGATTGGCTGCGGCGGGCTGACGAGGGCGCCGAGCCGGAGTGTAGTTGGGATTCTGCTCTGTCAGTAACACATGTGTGAGGGCAGCGGGCACACGCGCACCGTGCGGGCACACACGCACTTGCAGCCTCACGCTTAGACGGGCACAAGGGCCGCCCCCCGCGCCCCGCCAGCGCCGCCGCCGCCGCCGCAGGATCCCGGCAGCAGCTCCGCGCCCGGCCCCGCTCAAACTCGCCGCTCCCGCCCGCTCCGCTGAGGCGCTCCGGCGGGCCGCGGCCGGCCGACTCCGCGCCGCGGGAGGCTCGGGAGCCGCCGCAGCCCGGAGAGGGGGCGGAGGTGGGGGAGCGGGGGGGAAGCGGCACAAAGTGAAGCCACATTGCCAAACTTGCCCGGCGATTGCAGCATCGAGCGGCGGCGGCGCCCTGCGTGTGCGGCTCAGCGGCGGGGACCGAGCTCTGCAGCTCCCCTCCCGGGAAGCGGGAGCTGGAGGAAGGACCCGGGCAGACGCCTCTCATAGCAATATCTATATTTTTCCAGCCTGGGCTGCCCCTTGCCGGGCGGGGGGCTCCCTCCAGCCGGCGAGAGGGCGAGCGCTGTGCTTATTTCTTTGCAAGAAGATCTCTTCAGGCACCCCGAGCGGCGCTCCCCGGCCTTTTGCAATATAGAGGGGAAGCAGGTAAGAAGTGCCGGTCGCTCCCCCGCGTCTCGCAGCGTTCGTGTGCGCGGTGCCCGCCCGCCGCCGCCGTCCCGCTGCCCACCGGGCGGAGGGGCGCGGAGCCGCGGACCCCGGGCATTGTCGCGGCCCCCGTACAAAGCCTGGCGGCGGCCGCCGCCGGAGCGCCTTCGCTTACCCCCCTTCCCAGCTGCCGCCGGGAAAGGGCTCTGCCTGCCTCGGCTGTGAATGGAGGGGACGGGGGGGTGGGTGGGGGGAGGCTGGGGCGCCCGCTTCCCCTGTAGTAAACACTGTTCTGAAACAGTGGCAGAAAAGATCAAAGTGAGCTCTCTATTTCTCTCCTCTCCGGTTCCCTTCCTGCCCCACACACAGTCTTTTGTTTCAATCCAGGAGAAAATCGGTGAATCACCTAATTAAAACCAAGACATGAATTAAGCATCCATTTTTGTACTACAAATTTCCAGCTCTCCGCTTGTCCCTCCCTTGGTCTCCATTAAAAAAGCACCAGAGACGCTGTTAAAAGGGGGGTATTTTGCCTCTAGCTTCTAGCTCTGCTTTCTATTTCACTGACTCCTATCCCAGGACCAAAATTGCTTGGCTCTGTAATTACTAGAGTAAGCCTATTTAAGTTAAAAGCTTTTCCCCCCCCAACTCTAAATGAAACTTGATGAGGGCCCGTCCTTAGTTATCAAGGGAGTCACTTTCTGGTCAGTCCTCTTGATTCATCTTTTTAGATTTAATCAGCATTAAGGTATTGCTTGTCCTTAAGAGCTTTAGCTTAATGGGGTTACTGGATGGTTTTCTCAGTGTAACGTTTCCCATTTTATATTTATACATATTTGTCTTCGACAAAGACAGGTTAAGGTGGTGGCATGGAGCCTTTTTCTTTCTTTTAAGAAATCCGAAGTGATTTAAAGCATAGGAAAACGGTTTAAAGACTCGGAGCAGGAAATGCAGATTCATTAGGCTGTAGCTGGAAACTGTAACAAAAGGCAATTCCTTGAACAAATGCATCAGAAATCAATTTACATAAAGGTACACGATGCGTTCGGATAAATGCAATGCTAATGGCTTTTAGAGTGGTTTTCTTTCCAAAGTCTCGGGGTTTTTGTTACAGCTTAATTGGTGCAGTTCTCCTGGTTTATTGTGCGGTCACTGGACATACCTCCAGGTACTCTTTCTGAGGAAATGTGTGTTTAAATCGGCCTCAGTTCTCCCCTGCAGCCGAGTTGGGCCAGTGTCAGGAAAAGTTCCTCCTCGCTGCTCTGGACGTATCAGTCTGAAGGTCCTTAGCAGATAGCCAGATGCCTCGGCATGAGCACATACGGCTTACAAAGGACAAAGACAAAACATGCTGCTTAATTGGCAGTAAATAACTTGATCTTTTTATAGTATAAGTGACTGGAGGAACACCGGGAGTTTATTGGACCCTGGATTGAAGGCAACAAATTAATCGGTTTAGAGTAAGCTTTATGAATTGATTCCTATATTATCTCTCGGTTGTCCTGCTTGCATAAAGCATTTATTAGAAAGTGAAAAATGCCCTTAGTGGCAGTTTCGGGGGCGGCCAGAGTAACCGCAGCCGGAGCGATTCACTTCATTACTCGACCGCTTTCTTAGGGTCGGTAAACTTTTTTCTCTTTTTTCCTTTTTTTTTTTTTTTTTGGTAACAAAGCTTTAGCATTTAAACTGCTGATCAAGGGCAGATTAGCGAGACAAAAGTTGAGTATGTTTGTGTAGGAAGTTAACAGGCGTCCTAAAGTTCAATGATCTATTATTCGGGCCAGTGTCCTCAATCTGGAGTGTTTTCTCGGGGTGTTTTTAGTTCTCTAAAATAAAACCACAGAAAATAAAATCCCAAGGCCTCGAGGGCCGCTCCGGAGCCCCTCGTTACCGCCCCGAGCCTGCGGAGCCTCTCCTAGACTGAAAAACCAGTTTCACAACTTTTTTTTTTCCCCCCTCCACTCTTCACACACTTTTTTTCATAAGCAAAACAAACGCCGGGACTGTTCCTGACTTGTGAGCTGCAGCTGCACAAGCCCGGGGCGGGGGGGCGGCGGGTTGCGCTCGCTCTGCCCCCCGCGCCCGCCGCTCCCGCCAGCTGCGCGCCCGCGCCCCCGCCCCGGCCCGGCCCGGCCGCCGTTGCCCCGCGGGGCCCGGAGCGGCGCTGGCTCCGCGCTGCGCCCCGGCCCGGCCCGGCCCGTGCTGTCCCGGCGCTGACTCGCCCCCGCCCCTCTCTCCGCGCAGGCCATGGTGAACCCCGGCGGCAGCGCGCAGCCGCCCCCGGTCACGGCGGGCTCCCTCTCCTGGAAGAGGTGCGCCGGCTGCGGGGGGAAGATCGCCGACCGCTTCCTGCTCTACGCCATGGACAGCTACTGGCACAGCCGCTGCCTCAAGTGCTCCTGCTGCCAGGCCCAGCTGGGGGACATCGGCACCTCCTGCTACACCAAGAGCGGCATGATTCTCTGCAGAAACGACTACATCAGGTGAGGCGACGGCCAGGCTGGTGAGGACAGCTTTCCCCTTTCCTGCTGCCTTTTTCTCCATTTTTCTCTCCCCCCCTCCCCCTTTATTTCTCGTGGTGGGTGTCTGCAGGGTAGAGGGCTGGGCTGGCTCAGGATGGCTCCTTCCTTAGGAGGGAGAGACGTGCGGGTGCGGATGTTAGCGCCTAGCCCAGGGCGAGTTGCGACTGCCAAGTGGAGGAAAGAGTTGGGGGGGCTGAACGACGACTGTAACTTTAAAGTGGTTTGTCAGCACAAAACAAGTCCTAACTAAAAATAAACAGCAATCAGAGAGGCTAAATTAATCTGCTTTGTTGTAGTGTTGAAGGAGAAGTGTGCATATCTGAACAGTAAATGTTAAAATCGTAGGGCTTAAATAAGGCTGTGGCAGAGGTGCTAAATAATGAAATGCCTGCCTTTAGTATCTGATTAATTATGATATTTACATAAGCACCTTTAAACTCCTTTGAGTGGAAACAGAATGACTCATTCTCTGTTCTCCTTGTGAAAGAGCTGATTAACCATCAGTTGGAGGGCCATGGATTCTACTTATAGCAAAAAACCAGTGGTATGATGTTTGTCTCAGCATTGTTACAGAGAAGCTTTGAACTGATATTTCGCTTAACTTCCAGTGTAGACAATGCAGGAGATAGCAGAGGAGGTATATGCTCTTGCCCTTTATTTCTTATCTCTTCCTCTTTTGAAGCTGTTTGCTTTAAATGCCACAGATTTGGGTAGGGGGAACTAAGCCTCGCTAATCTCACATCTGTTGGGGTACAGTAAGATTATGCAGAGTATCCCTTCCAACAAGTTTCCAATATAATTAATAGAATTCATGAGGTCAGGTGCCCGTACGATCTTTTCAGGTGAACTCAAGCTACTTAAACTCATTAATTTAAAAGGAGGCATTTTGAAGGATTACACATTTAATTTGAGTAAATGGTTTGATAGACTGATGCACATGAATGCTTCAAGGAGGTGTTCTGTTTCAACATTCAGTAATTAAAAAAAACAACAAAAAAGCCCCATACCTTCCCAGCATCACAGAAATGCTTAGTTAAAACAAATTGTGTTCTGTTTAAATGCTTCTGGCTCCTCATTAATAGTAAATGTCAAGAGTTAACCCAGGATTTCCCTTCTTTCTGATGGCCAAAAAGCTCCACTTTTTTTTCCTTTCTGAAGAAAAGAAAAACCTACCAAAAGCAGCCATCAAATGTTACAAGTTTGGTTATGTTGTAAAACTTAGGTTTGAGAAGATGCAGATGGAGCACAGGGACCTCCGTAGTTAAGAGGATGGAGTTAGGATTTGGTTGCTCTGATAGTGCAGTTTCTGACCTGGTACGTGGCCGTGGCTTCGTGTAGGGAAGTGCATGGAACAGGTCCTGTGCTATGTCTGAGCAATTGAAGCCTTGGCTTTGCTAGTTTCAGAGGGGTTTTTAGAGAGAAATGCTAAAAAATCAGCACATTGTGGGTGCACAGTGGTGCTTTTTGGTCATCGTCCTAAGCAACAAACCCAAGTCTGGCACAATAGTAATTAAATAGAGCAGAACAGTGTAAGGGAGTCTTGTTTGAAGTGGAAAAATTGACACTACTGTTAAGATGCACTGAATAGTACAGATTCATCGCTCGACCAACACCTTCAAACAAACCCTCATGTCTGATTGCTACTAATTAAAAAGAGAAGATGCGTCCACTGTGTCCCAGAGGCAAGTTCAGGCAAGCTTATCACAGTCCTCTGGTTTTGTGTTGCCAAAAATTAATACTCGTTTATTTTAATGTAGGCAATTATGAATAGGATGCTTTATCAGATGAGGGGTTTCAATTGATCTCCTTATCCTGTTGTCTGACTTCTCTTTAGATCTGTGTAATTTGACTTGCAAAAATAACTCTGACAGATGCTTGCTGAAACTTGAACTGGACACTGTACACTCAAGGTGGGGTAGGATGGCCTGGTGCTGCCAGGGCTGAGTTAACTTGAAGCTTTCCCGCTGGAAATGGGCTTTGCAGGCTCGCTCGTGGGTCACGCTGGCACGAGCGAAGCTCTCGCCCTCCAGGTGTGTGAAGTGGTTCCCTTTGGCTGTGGAGGCAGTGCTGCTGCCAGCGAGCCTCTCCGCTTCCCTGTGCCATCCTTCTCCCCTCTGAGTTTTCCGGCGGGTTTTTGTGGTGGCGCGTTCTCTCCCCAGGCAGAGCCACAGCGCAGCTCTCGGCCGGAGATGGGGGCACGCTGGACATGACTGGCAAAATGGGAGAGAGGATTGATTGGCCCGGCAGGCGCCAGGTGAAAGGGACTTGACTCCTTCGGGCCAGGACCACAGGGCCATTTATTAATGAGCTTTTTAGCTGTCTCAGGCTGTACGTGGGGTTTTTTGTTGTTGCTTAAACAACACAACACTCCCCTTTCCCTCCCTCTCCCCCCCCAAAACCCGAAAACAAATTGGCCATAGAGCTACAGCTGCAGCTTTCATTGAAGGCCAAGGTTTCTGGGAAAAGAGGGAGGTGAAAACCTCGGTCCGTTCCCTTCCCTCCCCACGGCGATCAACGCGCTCAGGGAGAGGAGTGGAGCGCAGCCCTCCCAACCTTGAGATGCCAGATAAAGCAGCAGCGTGGCAGCGAATCCGCACAATTAAAAGCTTTAATTAGTGTCTCCTCCATTTTCTCTTAGTTCTGATGGGTTTTATCTAATGAGATCTGGTCGCTGGCTTAGATCTGCTCGGAATGACGTGTCCGAAATGAATGAGAGCCGCGTCGCAAACAAAACATTTAATTAACAAAATTGGCCTCTAAGAGAGAGCAGGGAGTGGTGGGGAAGGGGGAGAGGGGAAGATTGCCCGGGCGCCTTTTAAAGGGGCAGCGCCCGGCGCCCCTCCCCGGGCGGCCGCTCCGCGCAGCGCGGCGGGGGCGCAGCCCCGGGGCGGGGGCGGCCGGAGCCGGGCGCGCCGCAGCGAGGCCGCTCCGGGGAGGGGGCCGCCGGGCAGCCAGTTCATTTCCCTGGTAATCAGCGGCAAGCTGCTATATTCAGGGAATGCTGTCCCTTTAATTGAACAGGCTAGGTAATTAAATGGCACTTTTCCAATAGGACGTGCTAGGTAAATCTAATAGTTGGTTATTTAATATCACTTTGAAGTCTGCCCACTCAAGCACAATGACAGCACAGGAGCATGTGAACTATTAGCTAGGAAAAAAAAAAAAAAACAGGATCTCAAAAATTAATTAAATCGCATGCAATTTAGGGGGAACGTTTATCTTGATTTGTCATAACAGAATTAATTCAAGGCCTCCAATTCACTTGGGGGCAGATCTGTTACTCTGAATTAACCAAGCGTAATTTGGCTGGTTTTTTTTTTCCCTTTTTTTTTTCTTCCTCTTCTCTAATGCAGCACTTGCCATTATGCACAGCCCCCCTTTTAAGTATCAATAGCTTCTGGTGCTTTTAAGGTGCTTGGTCTCTAGTTATTCTGAAGTACCTTTAATGGACTTGGCTTCAGGCATAATTTCTGTGTTGCCTTTCTTTGTTACATTTAATATAGCTGGTGCAGAATTTAGATTAAATGTGGGGAATGTACAAAAACACTGATTCCTTCTGGATCAGTAGGTCTGGATGTGCATTTCTCTTTGCTAGGGCTTGGATATATGTATGTGGACGCAAATGTGCACCATGTCGTGCAAGAATCAAGAGTGCTTAAATCTGTCTCCACGATTTTGGAAAGCAGTGGAACCTTACTTTGTTAGTACAAGTTGCTAGAGACATGTTTCTGCTGATGCTGAATTTTGAGCAGCAAGATGGGAAACTGGGTTGAGAAGATTTCTTGCTGCTTTCATTCTCACTCTCCTACAGAAAGTTCTGAAAAAAAACCCCACCAGCAAAAAAAAAACCAAAACAGAAGCATTTGGAAGTGTGGGAAATGCTGTGTTGGAGCCACACAGTAGTTAATTTAAGGTGGCTCAGTAAAATGCTGCTAAGTGTAGAAGAGCTGCCTTGTCCGTAAAGGGAACCTCTTGATGTTTGTGATTGATTGCATTGCCCAAATGTTGAAATATTAATGACCTTCTTGGACTGAGGACCCAAAGAGGAAACTGAAACCAATTCTGTCATCACAATTAAAGAGTCCCCTGGCTTTAATTAGCCTGACCTGGGGTATCTCTACCCATTGCTGCAGTTAAAGAGAAAAGAGCCCATTAAAGTCCAGTCTGAGACCGATAGCTACTTAATTGAGCACCTAAAGCCTCAAGCCTTTTAAATCAAATACTGTCCTGGACAGTCCCCCTGGTTAGATAATTAGCTCTCCAGCTTCCCAGAAACCATGCAAAACAACTTTTTCAGGAAAGAATAGTTAATGTGGAAGACTTCCTTTGCTGGTAAGAAGAAATAACAATTTTTTAAAAGATAAAGCTTCTTTCTGTTAATGGCATTACAGAACAAAACCATTCATAACAGTAGAGATGGAAAAATAAGTTTAATTTTGTTGGTAAATAATAATAAGCCACGGAAAGCTGTTCTGAGTTTGTAAGTAATTTTTAGGAATCTTAGCAGAAGATTCAGCTGAAGTGGCTTCCCAGAGTAGAGTTGTTCTGGGAACATGCTGGGGGAAAACTTAAACTGTGTGGAAAGCCTCGGGATTAGTTTGACTCCATTTATTAGAATTCACAGACATTCAAGGTGTGGGACCACTCTAGTTCAGAGAGAATAGTATAACGAATGCTTAATGAAGACAAGTAGTGCAATGAGATCAGCATTCTGAAAGCTGTGTTTTCAGTTGGGTGGTGCAATTGTACAGGGGGAAGAGGGGGGTTGTGAGAGACAGCTCATCACGTTCAGATGGACAACTGACATCATCTGTCCATCTTTGCCCTTCTACCCAGCAATGCCCTTGCTGCCACCTCCTTATTCTGGATTGTTGGATCTTTGCTCTGGAAGTGTAGCAGTGCCTTTCTGCCTCCTCTCACAGCCCTTCCCCGTGCAATCTCTAGTGCCAACTTCATTCCTAGCAAGGATGAAGGAAGGAAAATGCATATTGCAATGCTTTGGAACTAACCTGGGTATATCATGTAACTGTTCTGAACTGGTCCTGGTTTGGAAGGTCCATTATTTGCCCTAATAATGGACCTTTAGTTTCCAGACAGTTTAGTCCCTTTGGTGGGGAGGTCCTGACAATGTATTAGTTCAGCTTTCCCTTTGTAACCGCTGTGATTCTGCAAGAACGTGTCAATGTGTCGTGGATCTCAGACTAATTAGTTTTGAAATGGAGTTTTGATTGAACTCTTCAAATCGATGCTGCTGCAAAATTTGTTTCTCAGCTTCCTATTAAAAGCCATCTTAAGGGGCAGTTTTACTACTCTCTCTGTCGTTCAGTCGATACATTTAATAACAACTTACAGGCTATTTTCAATAAAGTGGCGACAGCAAATTAGTAGTTTGAACATGACAAGCCTCCTCTGCAAGCTCAGATTCTGAAAATTCAAAGCAATTATTTTTATACAGAGGCACACTGCAATCATTCAGATTACGGGTATTCTGTTGTAATGTGTGTCCTAGGTTGACACAGACAGAATTTTATGACTTTATTTGGACAGGAAGGAGATGCAAATATTAATATTTATTATGACACCAATACGCTAATTTGTAAATCCTATTGCTGTGTTTTACATCGTACAGAAAAGTGGGTCTGTGACCCTGCCAGCTAGTTCAATTTCCTTTTTTACTGCAAAATGAATTGTGGTAGTCTTTATAAATATTTGTGTCTATTAGAGGCTCACGCAAAAAGCAAATAAAGGTTTTTCTAATTCTAGCCAAGGCAGCCTGTAAAAGTAGAACTCAATAATCATTACTGTATTATATTTTGAATCGATGCATTGTGCCTTTAAATGGATTTGAAGAATTATGTATATATTTTTCTTCACCACTCTTCTGCCTGTTCCCCCCTCCCCCCACTGCGTGTGCCCCCCCCCAATGGCAGATGTTGTGGTCTCATTTGATTGCATAGGAAAACTGCAGTGATACAGCAAACACCCAGAGAGATATGATGACAAATGGGTCCAGATCCCGGTAAATTACTTTCTGCTCAAATCGAAATTTCATTCAGTTTGTTGCTAGCAGAGATGAAGTAATCTAAATTGTGGACTCAGGAGCAGATAGAGGGAAGTTGGAGCAAGCATTTCATTATCAAGAGAGAGAGAAGGTTAGGATGAAAGAGATGAGCAGAGGCAAATCTAAAGTGTTGACACCATGATTGAAAAGGTTAACCCATACACATTATATATCAACCTGGATAGCAGAGAGTTTCTAATGGAAACTCTGCACTGATGGAGGTTTACTGGAGTTTCAATACACTGAGCATGATGTCTTCTTAGATATACAATCAAATCCTCTTAACCCTTTTGATGACTCATATCTCAAGATATGATTAAAGTACAAAAGAGTTCTTCATATAATTTCAAGGACACAATGCATTTAAACTCCAGTCATGAATTGTATCTTTTTTTTTTATGATGAACCCAGTAATCTGATAAAATGTGTGTAGTACAGAATTGTTTGTGTTTCTAGAGGTGTAAGTCAATATTTCTGATTAAATCCTGTGTAACCATATCCAAGGTAAGGTGAAGCTACCAGTTGTTACACAAAAATAAACTTTTTCATATTATGAAACATAAGCAAGTTGGAAGACGGGGGTCAGAAGTCTAAAATAGTTGTGTAATAAACCATGGCAGTGATGTGCAAAAATGCCTAGAGCCTTCTGTGTATTAAATTATTCATGATCATCACCTCTGTTTCAGGTTATTTGGAAATAGCGGTGCTTGCAGTGCCTGTGGACAGTCCATTCCTGCTAGTGAGCTGGTCATGAGGGCACAGGGCAATGTCTATCATCTTAAGGTGAGGGGTTTTTTTCTGTGTACTTTCGTTTTTAGCAGCTGATTAGTGTTGCCATGCCCCTTTAGTGTAGAACCTGCATCTGCTTGTGAATGAAATGCAAAATAATAACTACAAGAAGGAGTATCTGTTATAAAGCTTTGCGTAGTGCGTAGCTTTGTTCCCTCGTAATCGCTAAAACTCTGCTTGAGTTATGTACTGCATAGTCCCAACAGGTGAGACTAATGCCATATTTGGAGATACTAGAAACCAAGCAGCTCCATATCTCAACTGCACTTGCAGTCTCTGAAGTGTAATTTTCAAACCTGCAGCATACTTAATTTGTGCTGTAGTTTCACTTGCTGTCTCTCTCCTTTGCCAGTGTTTTACATGCTCTACCTGCCGGAATCGCCTGGTCCCCGGAGATCGGTTTCACTACATCAATGGCAGTTTATTTTGTGAACATGATAGACCTACAGCTCTCATCAATGGCCATTTGAATTCACTTCAGAGTAATCCACTACTGCCAGACCAGAAGGTGAATACTCCACAATTACTAATAAGCTTTCTTAGAGCTAAATGAAGATCAATTTCCTTTCATTCTAATAGTGGACATTCCCTGCCCCTGCAAAGAGACCTTTAAGTAGCTGAACTTACCTTAAGTTATTTAGGCACAGGGTTTGGGGGAGAAAATATTAACCTTTTAAATATGACATACAGGGTGAGTTAGTTTATTTTGGTTTGGGCACGTGCATCTGTACAGGTGTTGAACTCCTTATGTACAAAGCAAAATGGAGAGCATATATTAATACAGACTTTTAAGAAAGAGAAATAGTATTTTATTTTATAATCCTGAAATCAAATGCTTACAAGAGAGCAGGTTTCTGAGGGAGGAAAATTAGATCCTTTAATATGGAAATAAATGCCTTGTGAAGAGAAAGTTCCTGGACTAAACTAATGTATTTTATTTTAATATTAAGATTTTAGTTGAGGAAGGATGCTGGGGTACTCTTTCAGAAGTATTTTCTTGCCTGCTTTGCATGTCATAACTCAGATTTTAAAACCAAAGTGCTATTTACTTACTGTTCCGTAACACTAATATCTCAGCTAGAGGTTGTGTATCTCTGTGGTTGATAGTTTTGGTTTCTAGCTAAATGAGTAAATGATGATTGCACAGGTCGTAGAGTGAAGAGGAAAAAAAATTCTGATCAACAGTTGTCTTGTAACTCTGAAACTGGATAGTTTTAGATGTATTTTAATCTTCTTAATCAGTCCTAAAGCTATGCAAGTGAGTGCATTTTGATAACTGCTGTGCCTAATTTGTAACAATTACTGTCAACCTTGAGTTAAGAGACTGTTCATTCCACCCTGGTCCAGAAAAGAGTGGATGTATGACTCTTGCACATAATTTTATTCACATCATATTTCATACTGATTATGTATTGATGACATTGATTCATTTACTCTTTACAGCGCCACTTGCATGGATATTAAATCTTATTGACCACAGATGAATTTTAATTTCAGATTGGTGATAGATTTTTCCATCAGCTCTGATAGTATATTTGACTTTTTCATCATTAACCCAGGCAATCACACAGCACTGAGTTATTGCAATGAAACAAAAAGTGCACACTTCAGTTGGTAATTCTTTATAGATTTACAATAGGAACTTCATTAATGTCTGTAAGGATCACAAAAAATAACATTTATCTGCAAGTAGAAATTCAAAAGATTAAAAAAAATCTGGGACAAATGCTAGGCTGATCTGTTCTGTAGTGTGCAGTGTATTTTGGAGTGCTTTTAGTCTGTGGAGAAATATGTCCGAGAAAACAGAAACCGTTCTTTATTTTACTTTTATTTTTTTGGTTGTGTTGCTACATTTCAATATCTGTGTTTGCCTTTTTTTTTCTGTGCATAAATTTACTGATTAATTTTAAGTATTTTTTTAAGTCTTATACGGTGAATGTAATTACATCAAAATAAAGCATGGACCTTTTTTATTTACTTAATTTGTCAATCGAGGTGATGAGAGAATTGAGTACAAAAATGCTACATAGTTAGGCAGAACAAAGATAATTAAGATTGGAAGAGAATGTGCAGCCTCTTCTCAAGGAAGTACAAATACAGTTAAAGATTCATAGATTTATACTGTTGTGAATTTTAATGAAACAAATCTGTAATATAGACTAGCTAGCAGTGATTCTGTTAAATGAATATTTATAGGTATCCCATTTCAAAATATAGGTAAAACCATTCATCTTTATACACTGCAGTAAAAGGTTTACCATTCTGAGAGTGGTTTATCCACTTGTCTTCTACGAATGTAAAGTTTAATGTAACTTCAAATAGGTGTCTAAATTGTCATTTAGTTTTATCAGTTTCTTTCTCTGCCTTAGCAAAAAATAAAAATGATTTAGCAGCAATAAAAGCAGCAGACATGATGAGGAACATAGAACACGGCAAAGAGAAGTAAAAGGGACTGGGCTTGCAGAGCTCGTGGCTGCAGGTACCTGGTGGGGGCTGAGTGCAGAGTGCTGAGGGCAGGGTTTGTCAGCCCCTGTCACTGCCTGGCAGTGGCATTGCTGCAGCCAGGGCTGAGGCACACGAGCAGCTGCTGGGGAGAAGGTTCAGGGGACACGAGCTTGAGGGTTTTTCCTTTATAATACAATACCTCTAGAAATTGTTCTGACTTCTACTGTTTTTCAAAGGGAATTGCAGAGCACCGTAACGCCAGAAAACAAACCCAGTTAAAGAGACAAATTGATAGTTCATGTATTTGTCAGGTTTCTGGAACTTTGGAAGCTGCAGGGCCAGTTGCTAAGAGAGTTATATTTTATAATATATTTTCTTATATTTTATATTTTTTAATAGTTTTATATTTTTCTTTTTTAATAGTCTAAAGATTTTAACATCAGAGATGTTTTACAGGAAGCTGCCTGTTTTAGGGACACTAATTAAAAATATTCTTCCACTGTAACACAGTTGGCTGTAACAGATACTTTTTATTAAGCATTACAGATCAATCCTTTTCCATGTAATTCTATCACTAGAGATTACAGAGATAGCATAATATGCACAAGTTTGTTTTTTTTTAATTTAACCAAAGATATTGAGACACTCCCAGCATTAAAACACATTTTTGTTATGCATTGAAGGTGACAGTGATGAACTTACTCTTTTCTCACTGCAGTTTACAGGTGACCAGTGCAGGCAGGAAAGGTTGCATGGCCTAACTTGGCTTAAAAACTTGGTTTTTTTTTTAAGGAGCCAAACGCAGGGATGTTTGCCATTCCTGCCTTTTGCCTCCCTGAGGCAATTCACACATGTAAATTATAACTTCCCATCACTTGCCCTGTAGTTTAAAAAACCTTGTTTTCTCTAAACTCAGTACTGTTGCCTGCTGAGTGCAGACTTAGTTTGTGATGTCCTGTGTGCCGTTTCATTTGAAGGGGCTGTATTGTCAAGAATTCACTCTGCTTTTTTTGTACTGGTAGTATTCCTGTAGTATTTCTTGTTTGCAACAGTATTACCACCTACTGAAAGTGTACATTTCCCACTGGTTGGCAGTGTTTGTAACAAATGTTTGTCTTCAGCTTCTATGCTTTTAAATAAAGTATGAGTTACATTACGTCTCTTAGAGAAGATCTTAAAAATCTTCTAGTTTACATATCACTCAACAATTCCCTTGTAGTTACATAATTGGTGTTGTCTGTGTCCATAGTAGAAGATATTTGATGCTCATTTATTAAATATGCTTGCTGGCTGCTCCCTAATCTTTGTTCTGGACAGACAAATTACCTTTCTCACACTGAGCTTCGGCTCTGGGGAATTAAACCTCCAAGCTTCTACTACTTTAATTAGCTTGAAAGTGGGGGGTTGCAGTTACTAATAGACCTCAGGCTTTTAGTAACTTAGAGAAAGGGTGAGAAAAGAACTTCCTGGGAAGCGCAAAATGTCATTTAAAAGCCATAAAAATCTAATATATATTATTTCATTTTGGTAATTGCAAACAGATTGTATTTGAAGACTATGGATGATCATTCCTATTTTATCCACGAAAGTTTAGATTTTTATTGAGTTAGACACTTTTAATTATCGCAATTCATTAACACCAGTATGAAAGCACATGTTTGACTTCATATATTAAAATGTTTATGTAACATTAACTAACGTACCAGATGAGGAATTTAAATGGGAGGGGGGAATCCTGAAATATCTATATTTAGCTCTTGTGCAATGCAGCATATTAACCAAAGTTGCCTTGGGAGGATATTGGCTGTACTTCATATTTGCTTTACACGCTATTTCTTCCAATTACAAGATCACATTACTCGCTTCTTCAAAGGCATGGCATAATGGTTCTTCCCTTTCAAACAGGGCCCAGAAAAACCACCTTATTCACTGTATGATTTGTTAACAGAAAGTACACATTTCTTGTTGTAGTCTTTTTTTCATTTCTGCTGTCTTTAGTAGTGAAACTGTGAAAAATGTTTGCTTTTTGCTGTTTAAAGTTGAAACGTTAGCAGTATGAATGGGCAGCGTAGAAAGCCTTTAAGTCATAGTTAAAAAGTGGTCTAATAAAAAAGAGATTAGTGAATAGGGAAAAACAAAAGCAGTCATGTTGTAGTTTCCTATCTCAAATTTAGCTAAGATACCCATTTTTATTTCTTACAGGTCTGCTAAAAGGCCAGAGTAATGCAGAATGCGTGCCTTCATCTCAAATTTTGTTCATCACAGATGGATCCCATGTCTCCAAGTAGACAAGTCACCTTTGTAGCTAGCATCAATGCCAGCTCCATACCATTGCACCTTCTTTATTCTTGATTGCCCTTCCCACATTTATTGGTGTATTAAAATGACTGAATATGAACATTAAGGACTCCATGAACCTGGGCTAATGGGAGACTGTAGAGAAAATGAAAAAAGATCCACCGGAGGACATCTTGGGGGGGGCGGGTGGGGAAGATGACTAATGAAGCTAATTAAAAGAAGCATTGAAATCTGCTTTCTACCCTCATTAACAATTAGCAGGGCACTGGCCAGTTTGTACCCTGTGTTTTACCTTAACAACATTCTATTTGCTCTTTGTATATTTAAGTGTTGTAAGGAAATGTGTTTCAATCAAACTGAACATGAGATAAAGATGTGGCTTTTGTGATATTCTATCACAAACACTTTTATTGTATCTCTGTAAAATACAATGTATGTATGCATGTAAGTGTTTTTGTCCTAATGTTGCTACTTCCCATGGCAAAAAAAAAGAAAAAAAAAGAAAAAAAAAGTCAGGCTCATAGCAGCTACTGTGTAGAAATTTTCACCTACTTCTAATTTGCTGAATGAAGAAAAATCTTTTATTTGTGATATTTTCAGAGACATTTGCTCTAGTATGGTGTATTTAAATAATAAAAAGTAAAACAAAACCAAGTATGGGTTTTAGAAGCTTTGCTTTTTAAAAAAATTACATTCAAAACATTCTGCAACTTCACCTTACATAGTCATTACCTGAATTGTCAATTACCTTTAAAAGTAGGGTTTTGGTTTCTTATGCCAAGAAAGACTCTGCTAAACTACTTGACCGTGTTACTTGTGGCAAGGATTGCGAGTACTACTTCAGAATTATATTTTTTTTCATGGAGATTCTTAATTCTGGTATCAAGAAGTACATTAGAATTCCCATTGCAGTGAATTACAGCACACACAGAGGCACTGTGGTCTCTTTCTTTCCAGTTCCTTCTGTTTTAAGGATGTGCCTGTGTCTCTGAGCATGCAAGCATAAGAGGATATGAGTATACCATAAGAGGTCAAAAAAATAAAAGCCAACGAAAGGTCTGTACCTCATGCTGAGCACTAGAATTGACTATTCATGGAAAGGAATACAATAGCCATTCTGATCTGAACAACAGAACTTTATGTTTGCTGGGGTGAGAGACTTTAACTTTTCAACACTGATAATCTTAAGGAAAGAAAAACCTGTTTCCTGGGCTGTTTCTGAGAACCAGCTGATCTCAAAATATGATCTGTTTTCTGAAAGCAAACAAACAAAAACCACCTCCCCACAAAGCAGCAGAGCCACCTCTAAGCTTACAAAGGGAACAACTTCATTTTGCATGTTTTTCCCATCAGCTGTTTAGTGGTAGATCTGTGCAGAATACTTTTGAGAAAAAAAAATCTGACTGTTCATGTTTTTAGCAAGAATACTAACATGGATCTGTGGCTGTCCACTGTATGCCTTCAGTCAGGAACTTGCAAGCAACAACGATGCCTTTGCTGCGATTTAAAGCAAATCAATATTAAGAAATACTCTACTTTTATGGGAAACTAATACATTCATAATGCACCATTATTTAGTTTAATTCTGTTTTTTAGAATGTGTTCACTGCTCAGCTGCTTGGTTATGGAGTAAGTTTGACTTTTTTTTTTTTTTTGTGATGCCAATAACACAAAAAGCTGATTTATAGATTTATCTGTATAAACAACCAACAGCAGATATTTTTGTTTCAGATTCTACTTCATGATATCTAGTATACTGGAGGGCTGCTGAATTTTTTTCTTTTAACACGTCAGTGCTTGAGGAAGCCCCATTTCAGAGAAAAGAAAACGTAGCGACGTACAGTATCAGACAGTAAAGACAAAAGTCTTCTTGCATAACATAAATGACTGACACTATGTATGACTTTTAATTAAATGCACTTGTGGGTATTTTAAATAAGTTTCTAAGCTTTTTGATCTGGCATTAAAGTCTTCAGAGTCTGCAAATTGTGCTGCTTCAGTATCTTTGAAAAGACACTTGAAGTCATATGAATACAGAATTCAAGTATTAGTGAGACTGTAGACATCTTTTTATATTCTTTCAGTATAAGCACTCAAGGTACAGTGTTTAAATCTAGCATGTACAGATTTTTGGTTGTCCAATATAACCTAGAAGTGCTAAGAAGATAGCTAATAACTTCTAGTAAGAAACGTAGTATAGCATTTAGTGATGTAGAGGTTGAAGTTCATTAACAGCTTTAAATAAACTATTATATGACTCATTTGTAAAGCACAGCTACCTATTTAATAGCTTACTTTAAAAGCATTTCTTAAGTTGCAGACCTATAAGATTACAAATGTCACTTATGTTAGCATAATCCACATGCAAGTGATGAAGCCTTTGCTTTGATGTGCTAAATTGCAGGAGGACTAATGGAGCTATGAATATACAATAGAACATATTTAAGTAGTATTCTTGCTTTAGGTAAAACACTTTCTTGAACCAGAGGCATTTCACACAATGAAACAGGCTGTAATGGGGACGGTAGGTGTGGGCAGAAGGCTACTGGAAACACTTAGATTTGTCCTTATGTGAAAAATCACTTTTTTTAAGGAGATCTGTGAAGAAAAACACACACTTGTTCACCTTTTGTCATATGCATTTGCTGCACTGAGGCTGAAATACACCCTCTGCATTTAGTGCTGCTGAAAAGTCAAATAATCATTCAGTAAGAGCTTCCCTTTCAAAAATGAATGCTGTTAAAAAAAGAATCAAAGGAAATATTACTAATCTGAAATCATCCTCATGAACCTGGATAAAATGCACTCTCTATACTGCATCTAAACATCTCAATCATATAAATTGTCACTCTTATTAATGAAACAATTTTGTAAAAAGATTGCCCTCTAAATGGGTTTAATGTTTTTACCTATCCAGCTGTCTAGTTATGAGATTTACGCATCCTGGCAGGCAGTGGGACATTAAGCCTTTCCAAACCAAATTCTGTTTGCAACAAGATACTGTCTTTTCAGTCCTACATGATTTATCTTTAAATATTTTAACAGGTTATGCAGTATCTTATGAAATATAAAATGAGAATGTCTTAACAAAATGAAGCCTATGAAATTAAGTCACATCTTCAGAATATTAACCACACTGAGTTTGTCTTCCTTTTTTGCTGTTAGTTAGCACTGATAAAATTTGCATCACCTAACATTAGGGTAAATACTAAAAAGCCCCCAAACTCACACAGTGGCAGAGTGTGCCTTGCTATCAAGGCAGTGGAGTCACTGCTCCTGGAGGTGTTTGAGGAAGGACTGGACATGGCACTGGGTGCCACAGTCTGGCTGACACAGTGGTGTCCAGTTTAACTCAGTGATCTCAGAGGTCTTTTCCAACCTGATTCTGTGATTTCAAAAGATAGTTTCAATTTAAATCTTTTATCAAAGTATTTTGCTGATAGTTGTATGTGAAGTGCGAAGCTTTTTGCAAGTACCTATTCTGAACAACTCCATTAAAATAAAAAAAATCAAATTGGAAATTTAAAAAGTTAAAAAAAATTAAATTTAAAAAATCAAATAGGAAATTTATGTATATACATTTTTTTCAGGTATTAAATTTAATCATTGTGTTCTGGGTTTGATGGCACTGCCTGAAACTCCTGTATATGCAGTACCAGATAACCCTCCTTGCTGCTTGTTACTGTTACTACCAGGTGTATGCCTACTGTCAGTCCAGCTAAGCCACAGACAAGCTTATTGCAATTAAATAGCAATTTGTTTCTATGAAACTGCAATTAAAGTATTACTGATCAGCCATTTTAGATTGGCAGTGCTGTGGCTGCATGTTAAACAGAGGAGCTCTGGATTCCTTTCTGCAGGAGAGGCAGTAACAGTGAGGTGTAGTACACTCACCTCTGTCCCTTGTCAAGCTGGAGTATGAGTCCTTGCTGAAGTGCTCTGATCTCATCACCAGCATGCTGAGAGCAGTGACAAGTCAGGGCTCATCTCTGTGAGTTGAACTTGCAGCTTACAGGACCTGAAGTTATTGCTGTTTCTGTTCCTGTATAAGCAGGGATGTGTACACTTCCTACGGGGATGTTTTCAGCTCCAGATTGATTCTGTTCAGAATGGACAGCAAGTTGTGGGCCCCAAGCCAATAACGTTCTGCAGGTCCTGACTTGTTAGAGCTGTGTAAACAGGGCTACTATAGCTCCTTAATCATAACTGATAAAAGACTAGAAGAAAGCAATCAATTACCTTATAGGTTTGGTTTGTTTTGTTTGGTTTTTTTTTTAATAAAAAGCAGAAGTTTATCTGACACTGTGATTATTTTCACACCCATAGAAGGGATGAGAGATTAAAGCATCCCGATGGGTTTACCTGTGTGTACCTGGGCTTTGCTGGCAACTATATGCTTGTGATATTCTGGGGAAGCCACAGTGCCCCTGCCCCTAGGCCTTGCACAACCCACCAGCCACTGCCTGGAGTCCCTGGCCAAGCTTGTGCCATTCCTGGTTGAGTTGAAATCTGAAATGTAAATTTTTGGTGCAAATTAAAAACTTGTTTGTAAGAACTCAGAGAGGAATTAACTTTGTAGTGGTAATTTTGTTTTTTAATTATCACCATATTTTAACAAAGTCTGAGACATGTTAACTTTAGTTCCTGCATTTTTGTGGAGTGGAGGCTGTAGACATCCTGGTTCCTCTGCCAGAGGGGATGACATCACACCTGTGGCACGCATGAGATAAGCACTGCTTCATTTAGGCACAGGTTCTTGGCTCTGAGAGATGTTCCTTGTGGGGGTGAAGACTGGGGTCCTGCAGTGTGACCCATGGGGTGGGTGATTGCTGCTGGGGAAACTGCTGCAGGTTTGCTGCTCATGTGGCACATGGATAACAAATGTCACCTGAGCAGCTCTTGGCTCCTGGCAAATGGCAGGTAAAATGCCTGTGCTTAAACCTAAGTGCAAGCGGCCCAGCTGACAGTAATTCATTCACCCTGGTAGAGTGGTCTTGTGTCTGAGCCCAAGGCTTGAAAAGAGCCCTGTTTACTGGAGACAGACGCTACTGTGTTGAGGAATTTTTTTTCCTTCCTCTGTGGGTATTTTTTAATGAGTTCTGTTGTTGTGTTTCTTTTCACAGTAGTTCTAGCACTAAGCTCACAGAAATGTTTCTGGTGTGCAGGAGGCTGCACA